GATCGAGAGCGAGAAGCTTTCACTGCGCCAGCAGCTCGCCGAACTGCAAGATCAGCTGGAACTGGCAAGAAGGCTAGCCCCGACCAACGGCGAGCTTGCCAACGGGGCTGTTCAGGCGCCGCCGTCGGCAGCGCCTGGCCTCATCAATCTTGTGTCCTCCAAGAAACCAAAGAGGAGGAGTGCTGGTGCCGAACCCAGCACAGCTGTGGACCGCTTCAGCGCTGCTTACAATCCCCGTCCCGTTTCGATGGCTATCACCAGCACTGCCCACAGACAGAACCTGCAGGGCACAGGCTTCATGCCTGGCGTCGATAACATCGAGCTCGAGCTCGAGACGCTCTTGGCTGACGAAGATGGTCTGAACGAGGAGGTCACCATGGGTCTCATCCGTAATCTCAAGATTCCTTCGCCCAACACTAATCCACCACCGTCTGACAAGGAGGTTCTTTTCCCCTCTTATCTCATCAACTTGGTTACCTCCGAGATGTGGAACAATGGCTTTGTCAAGGAGTCAGAGCGGTTCCTCGCCAATGTCATGCAGTCGATTCAGCAGGAAGTCATGCAGCATGACGGCGATGAGGCCATCAACCCGGGGGCCTTCTGGCTCTCCAACGTGCATGAAATGTTGTCGTTCGTTTTCCTTGCAGAAGACTGGTACGAAGCGCAGAAGACGGATAACTATGAGTACGATCGTCTTCTGGAAATTGTCAAGCACGACTTGGAGAGTTTGGAGTTCAATATCTACCACACCTGGATGAAGGTCTTGAAGAAGAAGCTGCAGAAGATGATCATCCCCGCCATCATTGAGTCTCAGTCGCTTCCGGGCTTTGTCACCAACGAAAGCAGTCGTTTCCTTGGCAAACTTCTTCAGTCCAACTCGACTCCCGCCTACAGCATGGACAACCTGCTTAGCTTACTCAACAGCGTGTTCCGCGCCATGAAGGCCTACTACCTCGAAGACTCTATCATTACGCAGACCATCACTGAACTACTTCGTCTCGTTGGCGTCACCGCCTTCAACGACCTCCTGATGAGACGCAACTTCCTCTCCTGGAAGCGTGGTCTTCAGATCAACTACAACATCACGCGTATCGAGGAGTGGTGTAAGAGTCACGATATGCCCGAGGGCACTCTGCAGTTAGAGCACTTAATGGTAATGCGCCCAAAACACGGCCTAATCAAGCAAAGCTAATCCTTTCTACAGCAAGCAACGAAGCTTCTTCAATTGAAGAAGGCAACCCTGAATGATATTGAGATTATTCAGGATATCTGCTGGATGTGAGTTGAATTCCGTTTCATATTCGACAAGGCTGTGTGGAAGTTGCTAACAAAATGTTCTCCACAGGCTGTCGCCCAACCAGATTCAAAAGCTCCTAAACCAGTACTTGGTCGCAGACTATGAGCAGCCCATCAACGGCGAGATCATGAAGGCTGTTGCCTCCAGAGTCACGGAAAAGAGTGACGTACTGCTGCTCCAAGCTGTCGACATGGACGATAGTGGACCGTACGAGATCGCCGAACCCAGAGTCATCACCGCTCTAGAGACTTATACTCCTTCATGTATGTGAACTGCAACAAAAGTCGTACCTGGTCTGGCCTCACTAACAATACATGAATAGGGCTTCAAACCCCACGACTGAAACGTCTTGCTGAGATTGTGTCTGCTCAAGCAATTGCTCAGCAAGAGAAGCTCGAGTACGACCCCGAGGACGACTTCGAGCCCAACGGCGACCTCGCTGAGGTTGATGAGGAAGACGTGGCCGCATAACCGTGTACAGCCAAACGATATTAGAAGATGACCTTGTCTGTCTTGATAAGTAGACAGGTAGGCAATAGGGCCTGCCCTGTAGAGTGTCCTGTCCTTGTTCTGCTCGCTGGTCTCTACCCAAAAATGGCCACTGAAATGATGACGACTATCAAGTGGGCGGTGGCCAGAAATGGGCGGTGGTGTGTCGGTAGCTTCTTTAGGGAGCTATGCCTGGTGATTTACTACGTCAGGTTGTCGCATGGATAATGTAGAAAGAAGCAATAGTTGTGATGGCGTCCAGTCTCATCGTGGATGTTGCCGATTGAGTGATTAAGAGGAAGTGGGGAAGATAGGGGGTTGGAAAGACCTGTGCAACAAACACACTCGCCCAGCCTATCCATGATCGAAAGCTTGGGGGGAACGGCGGCTCAGGCCCTGTAAAAGGAGCGCCCAATCTGTTTCCTATTCACGTAGCAAGCATTCAAGTGGCAGAGGCGGGATAAGGCTCCGCAATATTGCCAATACGTTATTTCCAAGTGCTTATTTCTCCTCCCACCCCTCAACGATTCAGTGCTCAGAGACTCTTGAACGCACAATTTGAGTAAATGTCATCTCATCTGCGTTGACAACGCGAACAACATATTCCCAACCTGGGAGCCGGAAGCCGTAGATAGATGCTTTGATTGCGGGCGGCAGGTTCGCGCCCCGCACGTGACCGTCACACACACACCAACCCTATCCATAAGTTGCTGTCAGAGCGCTGTAATTCATAGCGGGCATTTATGCTACCTTAAGTGGCCCTCATTGGACTCACTTACATGCAATGCAATAAACGAAGCTTTTCGCATCCCGTTTCGTTCTCTATCCTTTTCTACCTCCCTCCCAGCGGTACTCGACTTAACTATAGTCAGCCTGAAACCAGCACTATCCTCATTCGCTCAATTCAAACATCAAAACGAAACTTTTAATCGACATGAGAACGTCACCAAACATCATTGTCACTGGTACGCCAGGCGTGGGCAAGACGACGCACTGCGAAGAGCTCGCCAGGCGTACAGGCCTCAAGCACCTCTCGGTTAACCAAGTTGTCAAAGATCGGGAGTGCCATGAGGGCTGGGATGACGAGTTTCAGAGTTGGATTGTTGACGAGGACAAGGTTTGTCGTTCTGTAACATTCATCTATGGGAACTGAATTCCACCATTGCGAAAATCCTCACACTCAGCATCTCTGTTGCTTAGGTGTTCGCTGTACTGATGAATCTGGGGTCCAGTTGCTCGATGCCATCGAGGGAGACGTTCAGGATGGGGGCTACATTATTGACTGGCACGCCTGCGACTTGTTCCCCAAAAGTTGGATTGACCTCGTTGTTGTGCTGCGTGTGGATTCGACCACACTCTATGATCGTCTAGCAGCAAGGTAAGGGAGTCCTGTGTGGTCCCATGTTGTTCTTCGTCTACTTTCCCCCCCTCCGCCTCTTCCTCTTCGTCTTCGCAAACGAGTGGCAGCAAGGTCGTCAGTAAGGATGATGACGAGAGCTAACACGACTGGGTTGGCTCCATTCAGGAAATATCCCGAGACCAAACTCCAGGAAAATCTAGACTCGGAAATCATGGAGGTCTTGCTGCAAGAAGCCAGGGAGGCCTTCGATGAGGAGATAGTTGTGGAGCTTACAAGCAATACATCCGATGAAATGGAGACCAACATTTCGAGGGTTGAGGCATGGCTTGAGCAATGGAAGAAGGATCACTCGTCATGACGAGGTGGATGAGGACGACGGAGTGACGACGCATCAGGGAAAATGACTGCGAGCTTGGTCTCGTTGGGAAATCAAGTCTGTCGCGGGGAGGTGCCAGGGTAAAGAGATCTTCCTAATCGCACTACTTGTGAAAGTGCTGACCATGCTACATGGGAAAAGGAGCTACATAGATATGTTCGTATCCAAAATACCTTTAGGCGTTGTCTCTATGCAAGGTTTGGTTCCTACGCAAGGGTCTGCTTCGCAACAATTCTTATAATTGGGCCCATCACGCGCAAGTCTTCTCCTGTGCCTAGGACATCAGACGATGATGTATGCAACTAGACGATGTCAGTAAAGTGGATAATGCAACAGAGCGCTATCACATTCTCCGGCATTGAAGCAAAGTGTTCGATGGGGGCACGATGACTCTCTTACATACATAACACGAATGATTATAGTTGTACGTCAAATCCATTGTGGAACACCTCGCACATAGCCTACTCTCCCAACAGCACTTCTTCACTGGACCGGATCTTTAGCCTTTCCCATCTCTTCGTCATGGCCACCCCACCGACAGTCAAATTCATCACTGGCAATGCCAACAAGTTGCGGGAGGTCAAGGCCATCCTGGAACCAGCAATCACGGTACAAAGCCACGCTGTTGACCTCGAGGAAGTTCAAGGCACAGTTGAGGAAGTCACCCTAGCCAAATGTCGCAAGGCTGCCGAGACTGTGAGTAGCGGTATTTCAGAAATACCCAGAGTGTAATCCTTGGCCTGTTAATTCATTCCGTTTGATCATCTTCTAGATCCAAGGGCCTGTCCTGGTTGAAGACACTTGCCTCTGCTTTAAGGCTCTCGGTGATCTCCCAGGCCCTTATATGTAGGTTATGTTGGGGCCGACACGCATTCCTGTCTACTCGCCTCGCACTGTCTTCGATGACTAACCGTTCTCATCCAGAAAATGGTTCATGGAATCCATCGGCCACCAAGGCCTAAACAATCTACTAGTAGCCTATGAGGATAAATCCGCCGATGCCGTGTGCACGTTTGCCTACTCGCCCGGTCCTGGAAGCGAACCTCTCCTCTTCCAGGGACGGACTAGAGTAAGCAACTAACATTGTGATTCGTTCCTGAACCTTTGCCAACGTTTTAACTAGGGCAAGATCGTGCCGCCTCGAGGCCCGGTTGACTTTGGTAAGCAGGACTGTGGCACACCGTTGTGTAATCTTTCTAGTGTGTTGTTGCTAACCACATCAAGGGTGGGATGCTATTTTCGAGTACAATGGCCAGACGTAAGTCTATCATCGAGTGTTGGCAGATATTTGCCTCGCTAATGAGTCATCAAGCTATGCCGAGATGGACAAGGCGGCCAAAAACAAGATCTCTCACCGCGGTCTTGCTCTCGCGAAGTTGCAGGACTGGTTCGCTCAACAGCGAACCGAGTGACCGCCATAGATGAGACGCACACGGTCGGGCCAGATCGACTTGATAGCTCTTGAACCGATTCTCAATTCAAGAGCTACTGTGCGCTGTCGAGGTCACAGCGATTCGGCTATCAAGTCTGTGATATGGTCAACCCGGTCCAGGAGGATCTCTGTGCTCGGACCTACCTCAGGACTTCGAACTCGCGGTATCGTCGAAGGTACTTGGCGCCCCGGCGATATGGCTTGAGAGATTCATCTGCTGATTTATGCTTAAAAGTTTGGCCAATAAGCCGGGCAAGCGCGGGTGGATCGCGAAATACGGGGTCAAAGACGAGCAGATTAGCAGTGCCATGCTTTTGTTTCTCGAAGCCAACGATTGTCAATGAATGGCCTAGACGTGATATTCCTCTTAGCAGACTGTCTTCTTTCGCGTGACGAGAACAATGACTTACCGGCATGCTGAAAGTATATAGGCGGAAGTGACGTGCAGGTTACTTTTGAGCCTTGGCGATGCGCTCCCTGCTTGAAGTACTGCTCGACGGCCATCATCAGCTTGGCCTCAGACTTTCCTTGTTCCTGGTCTCTGAACCCCTGAGCAGTGCATCTGCCTCAACGTTAGCCATTTTCTTACATGGGTTTCAATACATATACACCTACGGAATTTGAAGGCCAACGAAGAGTGCTTGGGCCTAGGAGCCCCAGAAGTTAGGCCAAAAGTTCAATGATATTGCCGGTTGGTCCCCGTCTTACCTCTGGAGTACCAATATACTTGCGAGTCCCCATGATGCCACCGGTTTCAACTCGCCCCTGGGAATTGATACCGAGGTCCCAGGCTCTCTCGATGAGTTCCTGGATCTCGAATATAGTAGGCAGTCGGCCCTGAAAACGATCCACGCCAGGGGCATTGGCGCCAATGATGTAAGAAATCATCATTTGAATATTCCGATAGCCGCAAAACCCTCCTAGATGTGATTGAGCATCAGCTTTTACCAATGAGTTTTGGCGACTACGATACCTTCTTTCTTGAGCTTTGATACATGCTGCACGGCCGGGTCGCACAAGTAGGCATATTCAGTGGACTTGCTCTGGCTCAAGAGCTGCTCGAGAACAGAAATCACCCCTACCTGCGTCAGTGTCGCCCGACCACGCCGCGGCAGGGCACTCACCGTCGCTCTTGACTTCGCCGCCTTTATGAAGAAGAGACACGAGCCAGTCTGGCATCTGCTGTTCATGCGCATATTTCCCCAACTCTGCTTTCTAAGGAGGATCAGTCGGAATTCTGTGTCAAACAAACCAGGAGGAATTTCTGTACTCCGAGTCGTTTCTCTCCATCCTTGCCTTTCGACTTTGCTGCGAGCGACAGCAGTTTTCCCCATTGCTCAACGTTCGCATTCTGACCTTCGGCAGCGGATTCGCGGTGGCTACTAGAGGCGGCGGCGACAGTTGAAGTATTGGGTCGCCGAGATTGGATGACGGCTTGGGAATTAGGGTTCTCAGCAACTTGGCGGTCCTCTTCTAGGTGAAGGTCCATGTGATAGTCGATTTCTGCCAAAGGAATGCTTTCACTGCATCCCTCGATTGGACAGTCGGCATACTGCTCTCGCGGCGTCCCAGTTGCGGGTGCGAAAGAGTGAGAATTGTCTTCTTCGGGGTGGAAAGTCTCCATGTGCTGGTGTGTAGTCAGTAGACTGTAGAGACATTTGAATAGAACCACACTTACTAGCAATATCTCGAGCTCTCCTCCACCAGCCTTCGCACAAAAGGGACAGATCATGTTTTGCTCCATGGTAACAGACCTCAGCTGGGCCAGGCTAGCCAGGTGGATATCCTATGGAGTCGGAGGCGAGCTGTATGAGATGAAGTTGGAATGAGACAAGTGGAATGACGGCAATACAAAGGCCAGTGCGATGCAACACATACGAACGCTTGCTATTCCGGTGAATGGGCACTTTGATTGATCAACTAAGAGGATCCAGTGAAAGCTTGTTTGCCTCAACGCATTGTTGTATACCTAGTGTTCGACGCTTGACTTGAGATGCTGCACGAATGAGGGCACAAAGATGGTAGATTCCTAGTGCAGGGTTCTCCGAGGGGCCCAAGTGGGAGGTGCTTATCAATGTATGTACTGCGAGAGAAAAAAGGTTCCCGGCTTTGCTGCTTTCGATATTCTCATAAACCCGACGGGCAGACAAGGCTGTTAGAGAATAGGTATATGAGGCATGGGAGGAATTAGTAGTAGCATGTCGCATTAGACAGTTCCAGAGGCAGCGAGAGCGACCAGACCGGACGGGACTCCACGAGTTGATTTCCTACCTAGCTGATGTAAGATCGGGGGGTCCACAGGTCCAAATTGCGCGCCCAACCAGCAAATGGTCAAGGCACAGTCGGCGCCTGAATTATAGGAATAATAAGGTGCATAAAACAAGGTAGGCCCCATCCTCCCACCCAAGCTGCCAGTGTCACATCAGGTAGTAAATGTGTCAAGTGAGGTATGATTAGTACTTCGCAAGTGATTATTACCATCATTATCGCAAGTAAGTATATTGTCCTGATCCTTTCCCATACGGATACTTCTCTGTTGGCTCCCCCCTGTACTTCGACTCGAACACCCGCATGGTACCCATAGCACCCGAGAAAGCAGGTTGCTAAGAGGTGCCTTAGTGAATGGCCATCAGCCGTCCTTCGGAGAGCATCGCCTACCCAAGTACTTTACCGGCGTGATTCAATGTCTTTGCGCACTCTTAGCAACCTCAAAAACCACCACTCGAACCAGACACCTCTGTACCAATTCTCCAGTAGCTACCCATTCACCATCCCAGAATGTCAGCACCAGTCGGGTCGGGTGCCCTTCTAAGGCTGATTTGGGTCTGCGTATAAGTGTAGTTGATATGGTGGTCGCTATAAATTCCTACATAAGAATGCATTTGCCTCCCTCTGCAGTCTCGCCCGGATTTTGGGCCTTCTCAATCTCGGCAATCAAGATATCAAAGGCCTTCCCGACATTCTCGTTGTATCGTGCGCTGGCCTCCGTCCAACCGCATTGAATCTTCTCTGCTACTCTCTTGCCTTCCTCTGCGCTGACTTGTCGTTGCTCGGGACGGAGATCGCTCTTGTTACCGACGATGACTATAGGGACTGATTCAGTACCCTTTTATAGTTCCAGTCAGTACGTCGCTCTTGCTTGCTCATTCCGCAATAGGGTGTAAGTACCAAGTGATTCAGAATCTTCTCGCGGATTACTTGCACCATCTCAAAAGACGGTAGAGACGACACCGAGTACACTAGCATGTAGCCGTGGATGCCAATGAAATGTTTCGAGTTCAAAATACTGTATTCATCCTACAATTTTCTGTCCGTTAGTCGAGGCACTTATCCTTTCTCGCGCTCCTGAAACCCTGCATAGCGCTTCCAACTTGTTCTGCTGAATGCAACCCGTCGTTTCGTCTACTGGTCACTTAAAGCGACAATTAAGGGATGACGTACCTGTCCTGCAGTATCGACAATTTCTGTCGCAAATTCTTGTCCCTTATAGCGAATTGTTTTGCTGAAGGTGTTCTCGATGGTAGGGTAATAACTATCAACGAAGTGGCCGTCTACGAATTGGACCGCCAACGATGATTTGCCTTGTGAAGTGAGTATGTTAGTCTATGGATGCTGCTTTCCAAAACGAGACATGTGCCATAATTAATGCAGACGGGGATAGTCTGGCCAGGCTGTCATGGGGGAGAGAACGGACCGACGGAACGACTGCCAACGATGGCCACCTTTCTGTTCTTTGGCGCCGGCATTTATATGACTGATGAGTAGGAGACGGGGCGAACGAAAGGAAGGGATTGTCGCTAGAGCCCTGTGCTGGGGAGGGAAATGCCCGCACTAATGCTGGATTCAAGAAGTTCGTAGGGAGAACGCTGAAAGGAGGTAGTGTCGTAGTAGAGACTTGACTGTTGCTGTAGTGCCTCTGCTGTGTAATGCGGGCACGTAAGATGCTGCCCTTTATTTATCGAAGACTGGTATTACTTTAGGCAGTGAATGGCTGCATAAGATGAGGAGCGAGGAGAAAGTTGTTGTCGAAGCAGGTAGGAAGGATAGAGCAGTCGAAAGCGCAGGATTGATGTTGCAGCGTGAAGGTGTAGCAAAAAGCGGCGGTAGTAATGGATGTTGATGGAGAGATTGATGGAGGGGGGAACGGAGCGGCGGCATGGCGTATGCAAGTATGGAACCCAGCAGCAAAGAGCGGGATACAACGCAGGCACATGCACATGTCTTAGGAGAGGCGGGCTTCTGCTACTACAGGCTAGTACTGACACATTGCTCCGTGCTCAGGTCACTTACCAGCTCTGGCCTGGACTTGGCAGTGGACCCATGCTAAGGCTAAGGGGACTGCTTACCTTGATGAAAAAGGTAAGGAACTCACGAAGCCAGCCCAGAGAAGAATCCCCACTGCGATATCGTCGCTTAGGTATGCAAGACCGTATAGTCCGGGTTACTGTAGATTGCCCTTGTCATAAACTGGCCGTCCCTCGCTTGTATTTGTTTCTTCTTGTACAAGGTAAGAAAGATGCCCCCAATATCCTTCACCACAGCGTGTATAGATTTGGACTACCTCAACACCTTCCCCCGAAGGTTGTGCTGCAAAAACCTTCTCAACCTGGAGAATTCCACGGCCGAAGACATCAGATATCCGTACCCTATCTTTTAACGCCTATAGCCTACTAGATATGTATCAGTGAGTTGCGCCATGGCTATCTCCGGTATGGGGGCTGCCTTACAACGGAAGGGTTCTAATAGGAATTGAATTCAGATCCTGTTTTAGAAAATTTGAGCAATGATTTGTGGTAAGATGAGCTGGATCCAGCTAGACTCAGTCATTTCCATCATCCAATCGAAGGTTATGTGATGAGAATTCTTCTAAAGTACCCAACAAGGGTCAACGGAAGCGTCTGGTTCCTCGCAAACCATGCTGCTAGGACACCTGGTTGCCTGCCTATCCACCGGTCTTCACCGCCGCGCCAGTCTGTCAAAGAGTGCTCTTTAGACTCTCCAAGCCGGATTGCCACCGTCTCTTCTTGAAAGACTTTGCTGGTAATGGCGGCAAGCGTGGCTGAGAATGCTACCTGTTTTGACTTTGTAGCCACTTCCTTGCACCCAAGTGTATCGTCCCCCAGTAAGTGCTGATTGTAACTCGCTACCGACTAGAGGCCTTATGCCTCTGCCTCAGCTCGTTAACGAGGTTTTGCAAGCTTGTCGTCAACTCATCCGTGTCCAACTTTTGGTGCAAAGCCATAAACTCCTGAATGGAATCGAGCAAGTACTTGGTGCCTCTTCCATGACTCTTTTCCTCCAGCCGCCGGCGTACTTGGCTACCCAACGACAAGTAGCCTAACAGTATCGCCAAGTAACCGTGAGCTACGGCAACCGAGGTCTTCTCGACTGAATCAGCCTATACAACCATGTTAGCCTGGCCATATCTGTGCAGTTCGCCCTGACCCCTGGAAACTCACTGTACCAGCCGAATCGCGATTATCCAGGTAGACTTCTATCAGCCTGTCCAAGGTTGAGCCGTCCTGCCCCTGCCACGCATCCACAGAGTGCCGGGCTGACGGAGAGTGCTCGGATGTATTGATCATGACGCCTAGTAGCAGCATGAGTGTCTCGTAGACATCCTTGGAAAAGGCCCCTTTATGGACAGACTGCTCCAGGAGCTCAAATCCCGCAACGCTGGCCTCTGCTAGCTCGCGGAAAAGATCTCCTCTACTAAAGGCGCTTGCAGCAACGGGGTTGTTATTCGTTGTGTTCAGTGCCAATTTCAATGCTGTCGACTCGAAATCGCCGAATTCTTGCAGAGGTCGAGCCATGGCTGTTGTGAGAACATCTGCGAAGATGGGAAGATATCGCTTTGTCCATCGAGGGCCGGCGTCGGATTCCATTGCTGCAATTGAGTAGCCTTCGAGGAGCGAAAGCGCTAGGCCGGCGTCTGTTCCCTCCATCCCATGAGCTCTACAATGTTGCCAGCCTGTCTCGGCGAACCCAAATAACTGATCTGTCAAGCTCGAGAGGATGTGACGTGTCGCTGTACTGTCACCGTCCTTGCAGAGTACGGATATGGCCTTTAAAGCAACCGTCCTGGGCGACAGCACGGTGGGCGGAGAGCCCCTCCATAGATCCAGGTGCTGTATCGTAGATTTCAAAGCAGAAAGGGATGACTGTGCGTTCCTAGATAAGTTAGATTTTCTTTGCGCTGCAATACTGACTATGTCTTCGTCGATGTTGAACATTGTCGAAGCCAGTTGCGCAATACCTTCGCTCTGTAGCTGAGGTACGAGATGAGGCACCGAATACGATGTGAATAGAACCAGAACAACAGACAGGAGGACGAAGCCGCTGACAAAGTCCTCTTCCTGTCCGAGAGCGTGAAATAAGGCGTCCTTCGCACCCTGGTCGCGAAATTGACGGACAAACGTCTTGTCCCGCAGCTTACTCGCCAGCTCCAATAGAGCGTTGCGCCTCGAGCGCGCTGTCTGTGATCTGGGCGGCTGGGGCGTGCCGACTCTGTCAAGCAAATCGGCCATGCTGTCTGCAAAACGGTGATTGGCACCGGCTTGCCTGAGCGCGTGGATATCAATGATGCCACCGCCTCTAGCAGAGTCATCTTCCTCGATCTCTTCTTCTTCAAACGCAAAGGACGCAAGCTTCGACATTGTTGGGGGCGGACTCAGATCATGCTGGGTGCCGTCAACTCCGATTTGGCTGCCTAGGCTGTCTCCCCCTGACTCATCTGTCTTCAGCGTCCGCTGCTCTCCGTACGTCGATCTCAGCTTTCTAGTGCTCGAGAGCACCTTGGGCCGCATCGATGGTTTCGGCGTCATGTCAATAGGCTTCATCGGAGTGAAAGGAGAAGCATCGGTCGTTCCCGTCCTAGAGTGCTGCGATGAATCTGATATTTCGGAGTCCGAGTCCGAGCTGTCTTCGGTTTGCGCTGCCAACTGATCGATGAGACGGATACGCTTCGGCTTAGATAGCATTTTCGGCTTCGTCACTTGTGGTCTCGTAATCGTGGAGCTTGGCTTTCCCACTATCCGCGCTTCAGAAGATTGTGAGAATGCCTGTCGTGTATGCAAGTTGGACTCGGTCCTGCGAGGAACGTCAACCTCGGCTTGAGCACGAGGAGCGCTCCTGCGTGGTTCGGCTTGCGTCAGTATCTTGGGTCTATCGAGCCCTCGCGGCAGAGGGTCCTGTTTGACGGCGCAAAAAGAACTGGATGCGCTTGTGTTGAAGGGCGATTTCGCTCGGCGGGTGTGAGAGGGCAATCCCGCTGGCGGAGCGATGACAGGTGGTTTGATTTCGACCTTGCGATCAGCTTTGGCCATAGGCGCAACAGCCACCTTCCTCTTCTTCGTTTTGTTTGAACCATCCGACTGGATTACGGGCGCGTCAACAGGTGGCACAACTTGCCGAGAGGGTGCAAGGCGCAAAGGGTCATCGGATGGTGGGTCGTAAAGATCGTAGAGCTGGTCGGCAGGCGCTGAAGAGGCCTCGGTTGATTGTGTAGCATTGCCGGCGCGTCGCGAAGCATTTGACAGGTCGAGAAACGCATGAATAGGTCGTTTTCGCGATGTCTTGCCGTAAGTTGTTGACTTTTTGCGCGGGACGCTCGGCCCGTCCCTGGTAGCCATGTTGTGTCGTGGCCAACGCAGACAGGCTTCTGATAGCCACGGTGTAGGTTTCCAATGAAGTGGAAGATGGTTATTGGCGATACGCGGTGATTACTGACAACGACGGGAGGATTCGGTATGGCGGACGATGGGCGGAACGATGAGTGTAGTGATTACTTGGACGGAGACAGCGACGCAGGCGGCGCTGGTCAAGAATAGCGTGGGTGGTTATTGTTTCTAAGGGGATCGAGAAGGGCTATAGCTGAGTGAGGTGAGGCGCGCAGGTTCGCGGCGAGGCACGTCCTGCTGGCTTGCGACTCAGCCCTGCCTGGCCTTAGTCAAGGTGACAGCCGGCAGGCATTGCGGAGGATGGAAAGAGTAGAGACCGGGGGACTTTGCAAGACAACCTCACACATTCACAGGAGAAGAGGCACCCGTCAAAGTCGAATCCCAAACATGAGAGGTTTTGATGAATGGTTTAATTCATTCAGGCGGAACAGCGCTTGAAGTCGCTCACTGGCAGCTGGATAATGGAGAGTAGAAAGAGAAGCGTGGCAAGCACGGCAAGGTATGGCGCATCGCACATTACCTTACCTCAGGTCCAATGCTAAGGACGGATACGGGTATTGAGTCTGTTTGTCCTCCGCCCGGGCACAAGTTTCCTGCCGTGCTGTGGCTGCCGCGCCGCCCAGCGTCGCTCCCGCCGGACGGGTCTTTTTTGTCATGACCGGACGTAGGTTAGGTACCTGCCTTGAGTTACCAGTACCACTTGGAAAGCACCACAGGATACCTGGCCCTGCCTGCCTGGTCATCCCAAAAGATGCGCACCCCCCGGTTATTGAGTAGATACGCTTATTGTCTTGTGGGATAGATGTCTGCTTGCGGCAGGTGGCTGATTCGCCTTCGGTACCTATCTACCTATTGCCTAGGTACCTAAATAGTGTCCCATACTTGTTGGTAGGTTGGTGGGGTGAGACTCCGTCAACCCAGGCGTGCCAGGGCACTGCAAGTAAGGGGGTAAGGCATTGCATGTGCGAATGAATTGGATCAGTTATGACCCCTCACATCACAAACCAGCCCCGCACGACCCTTATCGCTGGTTAAGTATTGTGAGCCCGATGCCAATGAGCATCAGCTCCAGTGCCTTGAAGTGCCTCGACACATACCTCAACGCAAAAGTATGGTTACTAGCCAAGTCGGTATTTCCCACGTTTATGGTTACCCGCCTATTATCACCTACCTTACCCACAAGTTGTGACGCTTTTGTTTTCTCGTAGGGCCACTTCGCTTCGTCACCTTCCTCGACACGAGGTATACCTAGGCAGTCTACCCTAACTTACCTTAAGGTAGGAAGGTATCTGATTTGAGCAACGGGGAACGGCGAGCTCCATTGTGTCTCCTGACACACTCGTTTCGTTCACCCCGTTAAACCCTTGTGGCTTCCCGCGAAGACCTGGCCAAAAGGTACTTTATATCGATCCATTGGAAGCTTTCCTGGCCCGCTGCCCTATTTTCATATTCCTACCTGAAGGTAGTTTCTGGATTTTTCCAACCCCAGAGCCCATCTTACCTACCTCCTCCTTCTACCCTCAAGATCCCAGCCAAGCCATCCTTGGGCAAAATCCATTGCGAACCCCTCCCACTTCGTCCGGTACCGGTACTTCACTTGCATTCCTCCTTACCATCCTATCGCCAGCCTTTCGCTCAAGTAAATCTTGGTCAAATACCGCAGTCACTTTTCTTCAGAAATGGCAAGTCAAGATTCAAAGTCCGCCAGCGGCAGCGGACCTACTCAGTGTGTCGGTCCGTTGTATCGTTCAGAAAGTCAGAAGCCCACGGCCACTGTCTCGACTGAAATCAAGTTAGATAACGTTGTTGTCTTGTCCCAAACGCCTCAACTTATCGCCCTTCTCACGTAAGCTTCCTAGTGTTCATCCTACCCCTCGTAACACCCAGTAGGATATAATGAGGCACCGGCCCTACGCAGAGACGTGACTAAAGAAACACCTCTTTGAGTGGTACCATTGGCTTACTGATCTCCGGCAGCATCATTCGAGACAAGAACACGGAGCGCGGTGACTTCATTTTCTACTCCAACCGCATCATTCGCCTGCTCGTGGAGGAAGGTCTGAACCATTTGCCTACCGTTGAGCATGACGTGACAACACCCATTGGTCGGACTTACTCTGGGCTTATGTTCCAAGGCAAGATCTGCGGCGTATCCATCATGCGTGCCGGCGAGGCCATGGAGCAAGGTTTACGCGACTGCTGCCGCTCTGTCAGAATCGGCAAGATTTTGATCCAGCGCGATGAGGAGACTGCTCAGCCGAAGCTATTCTACGACAAGCTGCCAGAAGATATCGCCCAGCGCTGGGTTCTTCTTTTGGATCCCATGTTTGCCACTGGTGGTTCCGCCATCATGGCAGTCCAGGTCCTCAAGGCTCGTGGTGTTCCCGAGGACCGCATTCTGTTCCTGAACCTCATTGCGAGCCCTGAGGGTATCCAGAACTTTACCGCAAAGTTCCCCAAATTGAGAGTTGTCACGGCATTTGTCGACCAGGTATGTACAAGCCGGCCCCAGCTCACCTCGGATTACACAGTCTGATAATTGTTTTGCTCTAGGGTTTGGACGAAAAGAAGTAAGTTCGCATCCTGCGATGCCAAGAAGCCTCTGTCATACTAATGGGCTGTGATAGCTACATCATTCCCGGCCTCGGCGATTTTGGGGACAGGTTCTACACTGTTTGAGTGTGGCTGTATATCCTGAAAGCCAACTTTATATGGCATTGGTCTCCGGCTTGGGTTTCTTCTGCACTACTGTCCTTGTCCCCGTGTGTTGCAGACCTTAGGCTGCATTCATTGACAATGCACCTCCTCGTGTACGTTCAAGAGGTTGCTAGTTCATCTAGTATTCATCATCATCCATGTCGATACCCTCACCCCCGTATCTCCTATCGTCGTCGTCATCGTCTACTGGCCGGCTGGTGGGGGGGCGCCGAGCGCTCGAGGTCTTGTGATTGCTTCCGCCGACGGGTCCTGCTTCCTTGGCAACGGCATCTGCGGACATGTGTCAAATGCATGTTCTCAAGGCGATTGCAACAGCGATTAAGGTATTAAACATGTACTTACCTGCAGCGTCCACCCACTCTCCGTAAACGTCCACGGCGGCTGAAAGGTCTAACAGGGGTTTAGCAGTTGGGAAGGGGGAGACAAAAGCAGTTGCAAGAATAGAGCCTCACAATTAATACTACACTGGAACATCTGACCGCATACTCTGCAGTCCAACGAACCAACACCCGCTTTCTTATCCAGCTTTACAGCGACGGAGTCTTCGTGGTTGCAGAAGAGGCACGTGAACTTGGAGGGAAGAACCTCTCTCTGTGAGTTGGCGTCAATAACTGCGTCGCCAGCATACAAGCAACCTGCACCAGCCCTCAAGCGGAGGAAGCAAACGAACCTTTTTCGGGCCTTGAGGTTTGCTCGAACTTTTGCGCTTCCCCATGATGCTGAGTGACGATGAATGATATGCGCGACCGGCGCGTAGAATATAGAAGGGAGCGAGAGGGTGTGTCGGAGAATAGCAGGTTGCGCAGTTCGTTGTTGTCCGCGTTCGTGTGCGATTGCAAGCGCAGGGTACGTCACAGGCTGGAACAGACGTGGAAGAAAAGCAATAAGATAGGCGTTTGAGGAAGATGGCTCAGCGGCGGGTGGTGAATGAGGCTAAAATTCCAGCACATGCAACGGATGTGACGGTGGAATGCGCGACGGCGACTTTCAGTTAGCGGAGGCTACTTCCCAGATGTATGTATTTTGCGGGTGGACAGCCCTTGGCCGAGGCGGCGTGGGCGCAAGGTGCACTGGTGCCGCAGGTTTGACTCCAGTCACGGTGGACCAGAAAGCTCTACTGGAGCAGAAGGTACCTTACTTGCTTGGCTGCCTTACCTACCTTACCTTTCAATATGTACCTTATCTATCGGAGGCTGGCAGCGGGGTGACTAAGGTACCTAGGTGCTCTGCACGCACCTTGAGGTAGGTAAGTACCCAAACGCGTAATCGATAAGATACCTAACCTAGGTGGAAAGCATGGCACATCCCACCCCGCTCTAACCTTGAGGTAAAGTAATGGAAGGTAAGGTATATAGGTACTATCCGTATATTGCCCATCTACCGTACCCCGTACCTACCTTCCATAGGATCAGAGGGACGATATCGGAGTCCGGCACTTGATGCACAAGCTAGAGCGGCTCATAGCCGTCTCATATGTCACCTGCACAATTATCAGATTCAAACATACCTACACCTCACGCATTGCATCCTACATGTTGTGTTCTGAGCTACACAATAAGCCATTGTTATTGTTAAGACGTAAGGCACGTAAGACACCAGGCATCTTCGATCTAGATACCCTGGCGAGTGAGGGGTTGCGGAAGGGTGTCACTTAAGGTAAAGCCTGCTAAACCTTACCTCATGCATTCATTGCCTTCAATCGTACCTGTCTTATGACAATGCCCTCTCTGAGGATCTTGAGTAACTGCTCACCTCAGACGCCTTTGTGCTTTCCTGATGGATGCTAAGGTAAGGTAAGGTATCAATACCGCTAGGTCCTCCGGTCGCCTTATCTTTGGCGCTCGAAGCCGCATCAAGCTGTATTCCTCCTCTACCGAGTCCTTGTCTGCCCTGGGTGTTTGGGAAGGTCGCGGACGGCCCCGCAACCCGAGAACTCAGGTGGGCGCCGCCGCCGCATCACCATAGGTCCACACACACCCAGTCTTTACATACCTTATCGTAGACCTCCCCACAAGCAATGATGCTTATCACTAAGGTAGCAACGCTGAGCATAAGGCACCTAGGTAGAGTCTACCTTACCTACCTGCTTTACCTACTACGTAGCAGAACTCCACGTCTTCACTTTGAGGTAAGGTAAGCTGGACAACTACTCAGTACCCAACATTGCACTGTATGTCATGCACGAGTCTGCTTCTATGCCTTGTACTTAGGTTGCTCCTCGCTCAGGATGTGTTATGTAAGCGTATCCTGTAAGGTCGGTTGGCGGGGGAGGGTGCAGGTGCCCGCATGCCTACCCTTTCCTCCAGGTAGGTGCCTTGAGGTAAGGAAGGTAAGTACCCCAACCCCCATCCCCAGCCCGAACTAAGGTAGATGGGACTGGACGTCCGTGAGACTCGAAAGCCCATGTACCGCATCACCTGCTACCCACGGATAAGAAGAGTCGGGCACGGTAGTGGGTACTTGCCCCTCCCCGTCCGGCCAGCTCAATGTTCACGCGCGGCGCCTTCCGATGGGGTCACGAGATCGCCCTCGGGGCGTCGACCGTCTCTCCTTTGTGCATCTCTATCTTCTCTCATGCTGTTTACTACATAGCCCTCACTGCTGGCTTCGATATAGTCATCATCCTCGTCCCTCATCCTTGGCTCTCCAGTGGACCAGCCATCGGTAGTCACCGACTTGCCTTTGCATGCCTTGCCTCTCAAGAGATAGCTGTCCCCATGTGCTCCTTACCTTCCACAGTATACTCTAGCTTTGTCTTACTTGGACTCGCCTCCTATTAAACTTCATTTCGTCCAGCTTCCTTTCCACGTCTCCCGTCTCTTCATCCTCTCCTCCTCTTCCTCTTCCTCTTCCTCTTCCTCCTCCTTCTCCTCCTACTTCCACCTAGTCTCCGGTCAGAATCCCCGTCCCTCCTGCTCAATCTTCCCTCGTGAAGCATCCCAGCAATTTGTCTACGGTCTCTCACACTCCAACACAGCGCATTTTTGAAAGACGCGGGCGACCTTCTCACAAGACTTCTCTCTTTGTGTCTTCTGCCGTTGTAGTGTGACAACTAGAAATTGATCGTCATGAGCCACCCTACCGTTGACGATGGCTCTTTGGCCGAAGTCATAAACTCCTTGAAATCCATCCAGCAGACTCAATCTGACCTTGTGGCTGCTGTCGACTTGCTGAACCAACGATACCAACAGCTGCCTGTTGATTCTGATGCAGCCACACTCGGTCCGAATCCATCCCTCAGCGAGATCCCTGAAAGATCTCGAACCCCCGAGCCTTCCGATGCCGTTGGTGATTCTGCCAAGAGCTCTTCGTCCGATTTGACCTTGCAGGCCCCAGCTTTGCCCTCGTCACCCAGCCAGCGATCCGGCCTCACTTCCCGCATCATCCTAACGTACGTTTCCAGCTCCTATGGTGCACCGCTTGCCGCCTGTCACCATGGCAGATCTTTCTCTGACTGATGCTCTCATTCTAGGACTTATCCAAAGCAGATCGGCATCAACCCTCTCCCCATGAATTGGGGCGAATCGGACCCCCATCGTCGTGGGCCAGTTGTTGTTTCTCGTTCATCTACCACTATTGGAAGACGTAACGGTCCGTAGGCCCGGCCCCCTTACTTACGCGTAACAAGCAACATTAGCTGACACTTTTGTCTATTCTCAAGCTGTCGGAGGTCAGTAACATACCTTTACCTGTCTACTAAGTTGTCTTGAACTGACAGTGTTTACAGCCCAGTGAGTGACCCATTCATGGAATACTCTTTTGGCCATCTCAAAAGGAAGAAAATGAATTTTTGCGGAACAGAATAGCTGACAGTGGACTCGCAGCGGTGGTTCTTACTCCATCTACTATGCTCTGGCTGTTGCCAGCAAGCAACTTAACCTCGAGCATAGGTGAGCCGTTTTGTCGCCAAAACCAGTACGTGGACTCATTGATTCTAGACCCGACTTCACCAACACGGAGCCGGCTGCTAAGATTGGCCCCTTCCCTCAATGGGGAGATCCCAAGAAGATTGTCGCCATGGATCCCTGGGGCCATCTGTCTCCCTGGCTCTTCAAGGACACTATCGAGAAGCACAACGGTGAGTAGATACATTAAGCCTGCACCTTTTACAGCATGAGATCTTGGACTGAATCGCCATAGTCGACATTCGCCCAACCATCGCCATCACCAAGGCACATATGAAGGTACCGTTGCGCCTACTGGAGTGATATTACGTCCCCTGACAATGTTTAGCTTCCCGAGCTGGAGGAGAGTGTCAAGAGTGGAAGACTGTGAGTGAAGCCATGACCAGGAGACGGTGAGCGTCGTTGTAGGGGCTGACTGGCTAGTGTTCCTGACGGCAAAGTCTGCTTGAACGAGCTTGGAGAGCTGGCCGTAACCAAGTTCGCCGTCGAGCCGGTATGTCAGCTTCCCAGCTACTGATTCAGATTGTTTGCTGACGCTCTTCGCACAGGTTTGGTATCTCCCCGGCGTAGCTGAAAGATTCGGCATCGGTTCGTCAGGCTACAACCATCTGGGAATCTATCAGCAGCTAATTGCAAACAGATGAGGGGGCCTTGCGAAGGTCTCTTTTCGAACACACTGGTGGCAGCTACCCCGAGGTAGATGGCCCCTGTTACCTCATAGACACACAAGCTGACCATTTGTCATAGTTGATTACCCGCAACGATATTAAAGTGTTTCTGCCCCCCATAGGTAATAGCACCCAGGCTTCGAGCAAGAGGATGAACTGACAATGTGTATCATCTAGGTGGTCTGACAGTATACTGTTTCGGCGACCCGGCCAAAATGTCCGACGAGTCAGTACGACTGGCATTGCGAATCCACGATGAGGTTTGTCGTCTCACTGCTACGGGTAGTTTTGCAATTAACCGTAACGTAGTGCAATGGTAGCGACGTTTTTGGATCCGATATCTGCACATGTCGCCCTTATCTCATATTCGGCATCGAAGAGGCAGTCAAGGAGGCGCAGAATGGCGGGAGTGGTGTCGTTATTTACTTCCGAAAAGAGGGCAGAGCCCTCGGTGAAGTGACCAAGGTGAGCAATGCCGAGTTCCAAGATTGATTGTGCATGAGTTGATGACAGTTATATAGTATCGTACGTACTCTCTTGCTTGTTTGGCATCAGAGCCTTGCTCATGTGAAGACTACACGCGGGCGACCGAGGCTGCACGTTTCATGATAGGCTGCTAACTGACCACGAAGTCGTGTACAACGCTCGTAAGCGCGGAGAAGACCGAGCATCGGACTACTTCAAGAGGACAGAGAACATTGCTGGAGTGAAGGATATGCGTTTCCAGGCTCTCATGCCCGATATCCTGCACTGGCTCGGAATCCGCAAGATCGACAGAATGCTGAGCATGAGCAAGTCAGTAGCTCCTCCCCATCCGAGATACCATGACGCTGACGTGAACCACAACAGCATGAAACATGATGCCATCGTAGGACAAGGGTAATGGCGATTTTTTTACGTGTCAGTATTTCAGATCTTGCTGACAATTTCTCTAGAATTCCCATTCACGAGCGTGTCGAGCTCCCCGAGGAGTGGATTCCCGCAGATTCTCGCGTCGAGATTGATGCAAAGATTACTGCAGGTATGCAAGTGAGAAGGGGAGCGTGGCCCGCTGTCAGTGACTGATGAGTTGCTATAGGATACTTCACCGCCGGAAAGCGCATGACCGAAGAAGAGTTAAGAGCTGTGCAGGGCAGGATGTGGGAAGAGTAAGTCTACCTGCTTTCCCCGCGTTGCAGGCATCGTGTATGACTAACCAAATCCTTCCTTACTTCACAGTCTCGACCATTAGCTCCTGCAGAGATGCCATTCGCTAGTAGGAGGGGCAAGTAAAGGCAACATCGCCAGCTTCAGGTGATTACACACGTGGTTGTGATACTTGGCCCACATGATGTATGAAAAGGCATCGGTGAGAACCGATGAAGCTCCTATACAAGTCGGTGCAGTGTTGGCCTCTGCATGGAACACCTGCACCATTGCCAGCAGCAGTGGCTTCATAGAACATGCAGTATAATCCATGTGTGGTATGCCTACCGCATGCCAGTCTTGGACCGGTAGATGGGAGCCAGGTGAGGAGTGGAAATCCGGATGGATGGCACTTTGGCGAGCTGGTAATATCTGAAGCCAAACTGCATGTATCTAGACAGACGCAACACTTGTGGTCAGGAACCAACCCCGCGCCCAGTGAGATAGCTTGCCTGCGTTGAATTGACTTGTCTAGCAATAATGCAAGGGTAACCGAACCAGCTGCAACATATGTAATGATTACACAGAGCCGCGAGAGTCTACCAGTGTCTAGAGGCGACGATCGGCCGTGATTGTCGCACCACTCGGCTGCGAAGAAACCAAGCTGGGGTATGGATAGGCCCGACCTTGTCTGTGGGCTGACCGGGGGTGTTCCGATGCAGAATCCTTTGGTGTACGGATATACTACCGTGACTACTTACATATTAACTTACAGTTGTGCAGTATAAGGTACGGAGTACAACGGCTCGAGCAGTGTAGCATGTCCTTGACCGGTCTGGAAATGTCATAGCCATGGGCGGTCTTGATTGGGTTCGACTGAGCGGGACCTCATGGGAAATGGTCAACGAAGCGGTTGGCAACCCCACAATGGCTGCAGGCGTGACGCCGGCCATGCATGGCCTTTGCGTATAAGTGCCCAAACAGACGCTCACCGACCCATACAACACCAGACACATAGTTGGGAGCCGGTTCCCCATCAGGCACCGGCCATGTGGTCCAATGATGGGACGCTGGTACTGTCAGCGGAAAACCGTCGACCGGGCTCGCCCGTCCCCAAGGAACCGACATTCCCGCCGAGTAGCCGGAGGTGATGGCTTATTGTTAACGCGCACGACGCCCACTTGATGAGGGGCGCAACATAGCAATCATGGTTCCTTACCATCCCAGAGCTGTTGCATTCTTGCAAATTCGATCGCCGCCGTGCCATTATCGGTCTCACCCAGACTTGTACCAGGATATCTGTTCAACGCGATGGCGACCGTTTCCCGGGACCTTCGAGACACGGACGGTGTGCGGAGGAGAGAGGCATCACCTCGGCCGGACCGTCGACGTCGACCAAGGCTCCTACGAGCCAGCGCGACGGAACCTACCATCACAACGACATCCAATGCCAGCCGTGGCGCCATTTCGAGCCCGCAATCGTCGCAAAGGGCCACCGAACTCCTCAGCCGCGTTGCCGTATGTTCGGGTCATGCTCCCGAATACTCACCGACGTCGGTGGCCGCTCCCCATATGGCGTCGCTCAGCGCCGAAGACATGACCATTCCAACTACAAATCGAGTCCAGGGCCATCGAGAACACCTATCTTGTTCGTAGACTACCACGATACCAGCATCCGACGATCAAATTACTGATACCAGTGTGGCCAGACTCGAACGGCTATTTCAGCTTTCCAAACTTTGATGCGTGGGATGGAGAACGGCGCAGTGATGACAAGGAAGAGGACGTATGAAACGGAGAATTGTCGTGATCAGTCGACATGAAGGGACTTCCCTGAGTGGGTCCAATGCTGTTACTGGGAGTTTCAGCACCCAATAAGCGTTCTACGTGAATACAGAACAAGGCGAAGAAACAAGAGACACCGGCCTAGAGACGTTTTGCTCCCAGCTGGTATTCGAGCAAGGAGGAAGCAAGAACGAGAGGAGGGGAGACGGCGCGAAGAAATAAGAAATAGCCCGGACAACGGTACGGAATGGTCGATCTGAAAGCATCGACGTTGATGAGACTCAAATATGGTTCGTTCTAGCGCCAGGGCGTTGATTTTGGGTCGGAATCGGTTGAGGAGTTACGCATTTTCCTCTGAGAGACGCGAAAGCCGCGTTGTTCGTTCAATGGCGTTGTGGGATTTTGTAGGATATCCAGCTTTCCGAGGCGGTTCTAGGTGTGATACCCGTACGTATGTCACAAACCGGACGCAAAAATAAGAGGGTACATAGGTTTACACGGGTGGTAAGAATGTATGCGTAAAGTAAAGATACACTGCCAGCCTTGTATTGTCGTGCTTGTTCACGGACAGACCTGAATGAGTGTAAATCTCGGTAAGGCGGGAGACCCGTTCACCGATCACCACAATGTGGAGGCACAGGGCATCACACCCACCTCACCTTGCCCCAAAGGCGGGGCAAAGTTCCAACAGTTTGTACCTGTAAGGCCTTCCATCTTGACTAGGGGGCCGGAGCATTGTGATGACATGTCACTGGCCAAAGTGGCCTTGAAAAGTCAACCAATTGGAGGCACTGGATGAAAAGTTGCAGAGACACTGACGTCTCAGAAGTGGAACTCTTGGGGCTGGCTTCAGCGCCAAAGAATTGTGAAAAAGTGCACATCACGTGATTTACAGTGCTAAATATGGGATCGATAGCTGATTACTGTGCTTCTCGCTGACGAGGTCCACGAGGTGCTTGCCCTGGCGTGGTCGGGGCAGGGGCATGCACAGTGCTCCATGCTGGAAAAAAAACCCGGATTACATAATTCGAACGGGGCACACTCGCTAAGAATTTCGAGCCACACATTCTCGCATCTTGAATTTTATCACCAGCGAAACCACCACCCCTCCAAACCTTTCAACTACTCAACGTTCATCCGCCAGACAATTAACAGCCGCCCAAAATGGCTGTGGGAAAGTGAGAATAACCACCTCTGGACGAATTGACGACGATATGCCGCCGACCGCAATCGTCGTCGCCCAGGCGCAGGCCGTCAACAGCAGCTAACCAGTTTTTCCCTCGCAGGAACAAGAGATTGTCCAAGGGCAAGAAGGGTCTCAAGAAGAAGACCGTGGACCCCTTCTCCCGCAAGGACTGGTACCAGATCAAGGTATGTGTTTTGCCGCTGTGCGAAATAAGTCTCGATGCCTTTTTGCAGTATGCTGACTGGTTCTTTTCTTCTCTCCCACAGGCCCCTGCGCCTTTCAACGTTCGCGAGTGAGTTCTCAGTCCAAACCCGACGTGGATCACGATTCGACATCCAGCCATTGTCGACAGCCGAGCGCGAGAAGGAATTGAGCCATCGGATGGGTGCTGACTGCGCGTGTCTTTTAGTGTCGGCAAGACCCTGGTCAACAGAACCACCGGTCTCAAGAACGCCAACGACGCCTTGAAGGGCCGCATTCTGGAGGTCTCTCTGGCTGATCTCCAGAAGGATGAGGATCACGCTTTCCGCAAGGTTAAGCTCCGTGTCGACGAGGTCCAGGGCAAGAACTGCCTGACCAACTTCCACGGCCTCGACTTCACCTCCGACAAGCTCCGTTCCCTCGTCCGCAAGTGGCAGACTCTCATTGAGGCCAACGTCACCGTCAAGACCACCGACGACTACCTCCTCCGCCTCTTCGCCATTGCTTTCACCAAGCGCCGCCCCAACCAGATCAAGAAGACCACATATGCTGCCTCTTCGCAAATCCGTGCCATCCGTCGTAAGATGACTGAGATCATCCAGCGCGAGGCCTCTACCTGCACTCTCACCCAGCTGACCTCCAAGCTCATCCCCGAGGTCATCGGTCGTGAGATCGAGAAGTCTACCCAGGGCATCTACCCCCTGCAGAACGTAAGCACTTTCTTACTGGTGCCACTGGCCCAGTGACTAAATGGTACTAACAACCATCCCAGGTCCACATCCGTAAGGTCAAGCTTCTCAAGCAGCCCAAGTTCGATCTCGGTGCCCTCATGGGTCTCCACGGCGAGTCTGGCACCGACGACCAGGGACAGAAGGTTGAGCGGGAGTTCAAGGAGCGCGTTCTTGAGGAGGTTTAAAGGAATCAGGCCCTGCATGATGGATGCTCCGGCAGAAGGGGACTCTGGCTCTACCGGCCGGGAAACAAATCCGGCATTGTTTTAGGTCGTTGCACATGGCGTAGCATATAAGGCGGCTGCGGGTCTAGGGTACCTCAAAATGGTAAATGGTCAATTCTTCAAAGACACTCTGCAATGTGTGTATGCAGCCTGGCTGCGAGTTGTCTAGCACAGGTATGGGAAATGCGAGGCTGCTTCCCTCACGGGATTCTCGCGCTCCAGCTCAAGCTCCGCTGGTGGCCTGGCCATCACGACTTGGCTCATATCCCCTCACTTTTAAAGAACACGACCTACGGGGGCCGCCTGACCAATCCTCAGTGCCGTGGCATACGAAAAGTCCCTTGTGGGATTGAGTCTATAGCAAGTCTATGTGGCCCGAAACATTTGCCTAGTCAAAATGCATGCCCTTAACCACACTCGCCTATTATGTCGAATAGTTTGCAGGGGGATGAGTGAGACGACTACAGCAGCCTACTTCCCAGAATCCTTTAGTCTTGGTTCTTTAGGAACTCAACGACCGCTACCGAGGAGTGATCAGTATTGTGACTATTTCTTTAAGATAAAGTGCTTGTGTACCTTGACGAAACTCCTCAGGTTTCTCCGAAATGCACCAGTGCCCGGCATCAAGATCTACTAGTCGAAACTTGGGGAAAAATTGCCCAACCGTCGGCAGGACGTCATCAGGCACGTACTTGCTTTTGGTTCCCCGAACAAATAGGGCAGGCTTTTCGAAGCGAGTCTTCGTCGGGTCCTTGAATGGGAAATCGCCCATATGGATTAAGGACCGACTGATGATGTCGAGGGGCACCCGGAACTTTTGCTGCGGCTTGCCAGCCTCGGGCCGATACAAATTACCCAGAAGAAACTGGCGAATAGGAAGAGACTGCAGCACAATGGTGAGCATGGTTGATCGAGATTGATCGAGCAAACCCTCTAAGAGTAAAGTGGAATAATCTCACGTCCTCGTAATCCTTCAGGATTTCGTCTGCTTCAGCCTGCTTCGTGATGTTCGCTGCCTCAATTCTCTTCAAACCCTGGATGTACTTGCTAAATGAGCTCTCCAAGACAGCATCGACAGGTGCATTGTCAACAGCTATGATATCTTGCACAAGTTCGGGTGACTTCAGAGCAAGGGTCATGGCAGCCTTGGCTCCCCTAGGAATGGTTCATCTCATTCAGCATGCAGCAGCGTAACGCCCTCGCAGATACGACTCACATCGAGTGGCCGATGACTGAGGGCAGCGTCAGTCCATGCTGGTCAATGAATGCAGCAACGTCGTCCGCCATGTGGACATAGTCGTGCTGCTTCGCGTGAGGCGATTCGCCATGGTTGCGTAGATCCTAGTCAAAATCTCAGTGAAAACCTTTCCGAAGTGCTTGCGGATGCAGTCTGTGAATCTTACCAAGGCATACACTGGTCTACCTAAATCACGAGCTAGAACTCTACGTGGCGGTCAGCATGCCGTACCAGAGCCTTGCAGTCATAGATGAACTCGCTTGCTGATACTCCTGTTGTTCTTCTTGGATCCGAAGAGACCGTGAAGAAAAATGATGGGGTTGGAGGACCCGCCGACAGGTCGCTTGCTGGGCTCATGCAGGTCATAAGACAACGTCAACCTGCTTTGCGAGGAATATGTACGCCGTGAAGTCAGGCCGATGCTGAGACTGCGCCGCATGACGACCCAGGAGAATGCCATCATGCTCCGAATCTGAGGGTTTGATGACTGTAAGTCTAACGGCCATGGGCCATATCTCTAATTTTGCGCCTACGTTGTGGGTCGTGATAGATGCTCAGTCCAGTGACAAGGAATAGAAGTGATATATAGAGGTGTCACGGAAGGGACTACGGGCAGGTTAAAACACTGCTATATTGGCCTATAAACTAGAAAACTCAACATAAAGAGGGAAAAGTAAAATAATAGATAGAAGCTAGCGAGCTGGCCCTTTAGGCCTAGCAGCCTAGTGCGTTATATAATTATTAAAAACTTAGTTTTATAGTTTAAGGCAAGATTATAGGGCTTATAAGGCCCTAATACTTATTATTATAGTATTACTTCTCTTTAGGGTCCGGCCTACCTTATTAAAGGCTATTTTTACCTTTATAAATAAGCTAGTTTATTAAAGTTAATATTAAGTTTTTATTATATAATAAACTTTATAACTAATTATAACTAGCTATAATTAATATAATTCTTATTAATTATTAATACTAACTAGGTTTAAAATATTAATAACTCTATTATAACATATTAATTACTTTTTAAATAATTAAAAACTACCCTCTATAACTTATTTTTTTTAATAACTTTAGATTATTTTTAATCTCTCTAAATTTATTATTTTATTATAATAATATTCTTAAGTTTATTAAGTATTTATTTTTTTATTCTATTTTTATTAACTACGTAGGTAGTTTTTAATATTATTTATATAATATTAATATATAATATTAATAAATATTCTTACTATTTTAATAAAAAAGTTTTTTTAAAAAAAATTAAGATTTTTTTTTTATAAAGTTTATATTTATAATTAAATATTGCCGTTAATAATCCGTAGTTATAAACTTTATAAGAGGGAAAATTAAAAAGGTAGAAGATTTTAAAAAATAGTTTATTAAAATAGTAAGAGTATGTATTAATACTGTGTATTAATACCGTATAAATAAATCGAGAACCGCCCGAGTAGCTAGTAAAAGTAGAATAAAAAAAACAAATTTATAATTAAATATATTCCCTTAACGGAGTAATTTACTAGGGTCGTATTATATATTACGTGTTAAAAAAAAACTAAGTATATTACGCTCTATACTTAATTATTAACTAAAATAGTAGTTAACAAACTTAATTATTATTTCTTTTTTATTAATAGTTCTTAACTTTTTATTACTAATTTAGAAAGCGAGCTATACTTATTTTAATATATATAAAACCTCTTAGTAGTCTATTGAGACAGTAGGAATGTCCATTAATACTGTGTACTAATACTATGTAATCGATATCGAGAACCGCCCGAGCAGCTAGCAAAGGCAGAATAGATAAATAAAAAATAAAACCTCTTAGTATTAGCCCGTATAAATAACTAAATCTTATATTATATACTCTTTTTTATTAAAAATTAAAAACCCCTTTATTTTTTTTTTTTATATTTATAATATAGCGTATATTAGAGGGATTTTTAATTCTATAAAATATAATTTTTAAGTTAATATTAATATACTAGATTTTAATATTTATATTAACCTAATTATTTAGAGCGTTTATATTATTATTTAGTTAATTTTTTTTTATTCTACTTTTATTAGTTACTTAGGCGATTCTAAATATTATTTATATAGTATTAACATATAATATTAATATATATTTTTACTACTTCGATAGACTATTTTTTAACTTTTTTACTTTTTTTAACTTTTCCTTTTATAAAGTTTAGGATTATTAATAATAATACTAAGCACCTAATATTATTATTTTATAAGCCTGCGTACTTAGTTAAGTTTACTACCCCTCTAAGTAATAATAGCTTATAATAGTATAATATTAAAGATTCCCTTATTATTATTATTAAAAATAATACTAACCTTCTTATTATTAATATTTATTATACTTTTAACTTCGATTTATATATACATATATTTTAATTTTAGCTAAGTGGGCGGCTTATAAAGTAGTAGCGTTGGGCGCTTAATATCGCCGTTAATTAATACCCGCTCGATGTCTAGCTATAGTTATAAACTTTATAAGAGGGAGAGTTAAAAAGGTAAAGAATCTAAAAAAAATTAGTTTATTAAGATAATAAGAATGTTTATTAATACTATATATTAATACTATATAATTAATATTAAGAATTACCTAAGTAGTTAGTAAAAGTAAAAAATATAAATAAATATATTCTAATTATAATTATAAACTTTATAAGAAGGAAAGTTAAAAAAATAGAAGATCTAGAAAAAAAATAATCTATTAAAATAGTAAGAGTATTTATTAAAATTATATATTAATACTATATAAATAATACCGAGAACCGCCCGAGTAGCTAGTAATAATATAATAAAAAAATAAAAAAATAATAGCTATTAATAATAAGACTTATAAAAGTTGGTATTATTTTTTATAATAATAATAAGAGTATTTTTAATATTGTATTATTATAAGCTATTATTACTTAGAAAAGTAGCTAATTTAGCTAAGTACATAAGCTTATAAAATAGTAGTGTTAAGTACTTAATATTACTATTAATAATTTATAGTTATAAACTTTATAAGAGGGAAAGTTAAAAAAAATAAAAAATCTAAAAAAAAATAAGTTTATTAAGATAGTAAGAGTATTTTTTAATATTATATATTAATACTATATAATTAATATTAAGAACTGCCTGAGTAGTTAATAAAAGCAAAATAAATAAGTAAATTTTAACTTTAGTTAGTATTAATAATTAGTAATCCCTTTAGGGTCTAGCCCGCCTTATAAAGGGCTATCTTCGCCTTTATAAACAAGCTAGTCTATTAAGGTTAATATTAAGTTTCTATTATATACTTTAGTAAGACTTTATATTAATTAATAATAGCCGGCTATAGCCGGCTATAACTAGTATAGCCGTTATTAATTACTAATATTAACTAAACTTAAGATATCAATAACCCTATTATTTATTTATTTTAATTTTACTTTTATTAACTACTCAGGCGGTTCTCAGTATTATTTATACAATTTAATATATAGTATTAATAAATACTCTTACTATCTCAATAGATTTTTTTTTTTTTATATTTTTTACCTTCTTAAATTTCCTTCTTATAAAGTTTAAGATTATTAACGGCGATAATAACCCTATTATAATATATTGATTTCCCTCTAAATAGCTAAAAACTATCCTCTATTTTTTATTTTTTTAATAATATTAGAATTTTTTCAATCTTTTTTAATTTATTTTTATATAACGATATTAAAATATTTATAAT